AAAAAAGTGACAATTTTTATAAAAAAGTGACATTGTGTCACTTTTTTCATTTTACATAGTATTTTTTACTTCCTAAAACTTTTCACATGATTTTTCAAGACACCCCTAATTTTAAGGGTATTTTTGTAAGTACTCCTTTTTTTTTAGATCCTTTAAGCTGGAGGCCCTAGACGATGGCCTAGGTCACCTTGGTGGGCCGGCCCTGCCGAGGACTTTCACCCACCTAGAACATTTGCTGCCTTTCCTCGGGTCACTTCCCTTATAGTGGGGACTCTCCTTTTCAAGAAGAGTCAAATGACAAAGGTCAGTCAGTCTATTGCTATTTACAATAATCAAAAGAAAGTGTTACAGTCAGTCTTCTCCTTCAAACAAATATATAATTGTATGAAGTTCATTCAGCTATATATTTTGTATCAAATTAGTCATTTTGTTCTCTCTCACAAATCTTAGCAGAAATTAGTGAAGATAAACAGAATGACCAACTTACAAAATAAGAAGTTCAGCTAAGCTTTCTGGAACGAAATTAATTGAGCGACTAAATTTAAACCTGACTACGTATTCAGAGAAGCAGTTCAGAAGTTGATCGAAAGAAACTCATATTTGACAAACAATAATTTCAATATATAAATATCATTCCGTGAAATTTGAATGTCAATCAAATGTTCATGTTACATTTGAAGATATACGATCCTGTTTCATTTTTAGAAAATCTGTATGCTGCTTTAGACAATTATATCAGCTTTTTAGCAGCAAGTGGAAGAATTCTCATTTCTCCTCCCAACATGTAGGGTAAAGATAATTGACACCACACAATCATTTTAGATCATCAAGCACAGTGAGATTAGCGCATTCTGAAATATTGCGTTCTTGAGACCTGGCAATGTCGACCGTTCAGCGAATACTTGAGCATTATATCCACATCCCGAGGATTCTTCTTGTTAGGTGCAACAGTCATGGCCCCTACAACTGCCTCCCCTTGGCAAATAGTCAGCACATCTTCCAGATAGAGAACTGTTTGTTTCCAATGAGTAAAACGGGATTTGGGCCCTGCACATCGAATGATACTCATCTTCATAAACAGAAATGTACGTGAATTCAGAGTCTTTAAAATAGTTTATCAGTGCATGTTTTAAGCCTCTTGTTCATACCATCTATCTATATATTCTTATAGTGGCTTCTAGTTGCAATTTATATGAAAAAGGGTATTTTAGGAAATAAATTATTCTGTAACTATTCTGTGAGTGAATAGTTCTGTAAGTCTATCTTTTCCCGTCAGTCTATCGCTATTTACAATAATCAAAAGAAAGTGTTACCGTCTGTCTTCTCCTTCAAACAAATATAAAATTGTATGAAGTTCATTCAGCTATATATTTTGTATCAAATTAGTCATTTTGTTCTCTCACACAAATCTTAGCCGAAATTAGTGACGAAGATAAACAGAATGACCAACTTACAAAATAAGAAGTTCAGCTAAGCTTTCTGAAACAAATTAATTGAGTGACCAAATTTAAACCTGACTATATAATCAGTGAAGCAGTTCACAAGTTGATCGAAGGAAACGCATATTTGACAAACAATAATTTCCATATATAAATATAATTCCGTGAAATTTGAATGTCAATCAAAGTAAATGTTCATGTTACACTTGAAGATATACGATCCTGCTTCATTTTTAGAAAATCTGTATGCTGCTTTAGACAATTATAGCCGCTTTTTAGCAGCAAGTGGAAGAATTCTCATTTCTCCTCCCAACATGTAGGGTAAAGATAATTGACACCACACAATCATTTTAGATCATCAACCACAGTGAGATTAGCACATTCTGAAATATTGCGTTCTTGAGACCTGGCAATGTCGACCATTCAGCGAATACTTGAGCATTATATCCACATCCCGAGGATTCTTCTTGTTAGGTGCAACAGTCATGGCCCCTATGACGGCCTCCCCTTGGCAAATAGTCAGCA